TTCAAAAACCCCGATTAAAAAGGCTTTCCCTTTCTTTCACTTCTGCTCCTTAACTGGAACTAAATGTCGTTCCAGTGAAGAATGCTCTCTTTCTGTCCTTCCCATCTCTACCATTTGACACTTTGATTTATCTGACGTTATTTATTAAATGAATTATATGGGTTTGGTTTTTTTAATACCAGGTCAGGCTTGGCCAGAGAATCATGGCATATAGCCAGTAGAAGAGTACAATGGTGGTTTTTGTTTTTTGTTTTTTGTGGAGTTCTTTTTAAAGCTTTCAGCAGTTTCCTTGAGGCTTCTTCTGTTGAGAGAAAGTTGGGGATTCTTGAGTTTGTGGCATTTAGACTCATCATCAATTTCCCACAGGAATGTGGGAAATAATCCAAGCAATTTGCAAGGGTTCCCTGAGTAAAGAGTAGCATCATTTATTTAAATATATATGAGCCACACTTTTATAAAGTGTATCGCTGTGGCTGGCAGCGTGGCCATATAATCAGTTCATACAAATACCCATAAAACATAACGAAAATCATTACGAGTTGGTTAAAAAGGAGAAACTCATTGTGAAGGCCTGTCTATAAACAGCAGATCTTTCAGAAGATGCCTGAGGTCAGTCCCTGTTTGCCTCATGGGTGCTACAACCCTGTGCAGTTTTTTGTTTTTTTACCTTCCCTTCGCAGTGGTACCTATTTATCTACTTGCCCTGGCGTGTTTTTGAACTGCTAAGTTGGCAGGAGCTGGGACAGAGCAACGGGAGCTCACGCCGTTGTGGGGATTCGAACCGCTGACCTTCCAATCGGCAAGCCCAAGGCTCAGTGGTTTAGACCACAGCGCCACCCGTGTCCTGTGCACAGTTACCTGGAGGTAAGCGTCACTGAAAAAAGTGGGCTTTACTGCCAAGTAAATTCCTGCCTTGCAGGGGGTTGGTTTCCCTTCCAACTTTACAATTCAATGATTCTAAATATGCATGTAGGGCCAGATTTAGGTTTGATGAGGCCCTAAGCTAGTGAAGGTAATGGGGCCCTTTATATGTCCAGCTGTCCTTTGTCAACAACAAATTGTCCCTGTTGTTTTTTGTTGTTGAATATATGGTAATTTATGGACCTAATAGGTATCTCAAGCCATTTGCACATGTTGCCATGCACTTAGTGCATGCAGAATGTAGGCACCCTATATATAGAAATGAACAAACCAGTGATATCTTAGGGAGCAGGCTAGCAGGTGGGGGCCATTACTTACATCACAGGATCCTACACAACACAAAACACTGTTGCTGTATGTAAAGGTAAAGGGACCCCTGACCGTTAGGTCCAGTCGTGGCCGACTCTGGGGTTGCGGCGCTCATCTCGCTGTATTGGCCAAGGGAGCCGGTGTACAGCTTCCGGGTCATGTGGCCAGCATGACTAAGCCGCTTCTGGCGAACCAGAGCAGCGCTCGGAAACGCCGTTTACCTTCCTGCCGGAGCGGTACCTATTTATCTACTTGCACTTTGACGTGATTTCGAACTGCTACGTTGGCAGAAGCAGGGACCGAACAACGGGAGCTCACCCCGTCATGGGGATTCGAACTGCCAACCTTCTGATCGGCAAGTCCTAGGTTCAGTGGTTTAGACCACAGCGCCACCCGCGTCCCATAGCTGCTGTATGTAGGTTTGATTTTGGAAATGTATTTTGGAAATGTACATCCATTTTTTTCCCTTTAAATTTTTTGGGGGCCCCCAAGAGAGTGCGGCCCTAAGCTATAGTTTGTTTAGCTTTTACGTAAATCCGGGATTGGACCATATGTCTCCGATCTGGCTAGGCACCCCCAAACAGCTTGCAGGGGTTCCTGCTTTCGGTCTAACTTAACTCGACCTCAAATCACTTTCATTTATCAACCCCATTTTTCTCAGCTAGCGGAGCTAGTGGTTTCTGAGCATGGAGATGCACCACTATTGTTGCTTAGCGAAACAGCCAGGAGTCTCTCAACCTTTGCTCCACTGCAAAATAACCCATCCTTGCCATTGCACCACATTTATGGCTTCTAGGAACGGGAGCGGCCGCTCCTGTTCAGAGGGAAGATGAGGTCAGGACCTTCCAGCGCAGCTGAGACATGCCCCAGAATTGCATAAGTCGTCCCAGGTATGTAGCCCGAAATATGCACCGCAACTGCAGATTTAACTCATAAATCCAGGCAGTAATTTAGCCCTGCCATCTTGCAGGAGGAAAAAATAAAACAAGGACTGAGGCGGTGGCTTAGGACATGTCTGCACGAATGTCAATCAAGTGAAACTCTGACGCTCACTCAACTGCCATGCTCACCTCTGCAGGGCAAGCCAATCGTCTCCCTGTGGATTTCCATCAACTGGGATTCCGAAGCATCGCTGCGCTGTGGAGCGCAGAACAGAGCCATCGTTGGCAGAATTCTCCTCCTAGAGTTTGTCTAATCCTCTTTTATCTTTTCTTATTTTTAAATTTTTTTTTAGAGAAGATTGGAAAACGTTTCTTTTTTTAAAAAAAATATTTAACATGATTATTACAAAATATAAGCAAAATATTGCAAATGCATGCATACATACATACATACATATTTCAGATAAGCACACATATATAAAAAAGAACAAAAAAGGAAGAAAAGAAAAAGGGAAAAGGAAAATAAGGAGAAAAAGAAGAAGAAAAGTTGGAAGAATTTCTTCCGAATTTATTCTACAGATATCTCAATAATAAAATTTCATTAATTGACTTCCATCGCTTGCACTGCACTTCCTATATATACATTTTAAGCAAAATTGTATCTGTTATTCCGTATTTTTCCCATACAATTGTATGGTCTAATCCTCTTTTAAAGCCATCCAAATTGGTGCTGCAGCAGGGAGTTCCACAGTTTAACTATGCACTGTGCACTGTCTTCTCTCTCTCTCTCTCTAATTTATTTCTTTGGTTTTTCAACTTAAAATTTTAAAGAGATATATCAAACACAAATCATAGAAACAAGATTCCAAGGAACCTCCTGGACTTCTATCCTCCCCTATGTGGGTCCTATCATTAACCAATTCCTCCCTCATCTTTTATGATAATCCAAACCCTTTACCTCTTCTGTCATGTTCAGAATTAGCCTTAAACTCCAAGAGATATTCCAATCCTAGTAAAGATTTTAACTTGAGGGGGCCCCCAAGCTATAGCTTGTTTAGCTTATACATAAACCCAGCACTGCGCATACCTCTAAACATTTTGTGAATCTTTGTACTTTTGTCCATTTACTGTACAGTGGTACCTCAGGTTACATACGCTTCAGGTTACAGACTCCACTAACCCAGAAATAGTGCTTCAGGTTAAGAACTTTGCTTCAGGATGAGAACAGAAATCACGCAGCGGTGGCGCAGTGGCAGTGGGAGGCCCCATTAGCTAAAGTGGGGCTTCAGGTTAAGAACAGTTTCAGGTTAAGTACGGACCTCCAGAACGAATTAATTACAGTATTTAACCTGAGGTACCACTGTATTCATTTCCCCCAATCTGAACTATAAAATGGTGGTTTTCTTGAGTCAAAATCAGAGTACAGTACCACTAAACATATATATATGGACTTACCTCCAGGTAAGCGTGAATAAGAGTTTTTGCTTTTGTTCTTCATGTGCCACAGACTCTATGGGGTCCTGAAAACACATGCAAGCGGCAGATCTCTCTTGCGCTGTGAGATTACGATATTGCATTTATTTGCATTACCTACAGCCTGTTCTACTGATGAAGGCTAGGATGATGAAACAAGGCTAATATTCCGGAAATCCTTGTCTTAGACTCTGTGAAAGGATTCTGTGGAACTGTAACAACCCTTCATGTGGATGATTGGACTCTTTGAACAGACAGGTGGAACAGATACCTGGATACATGTATGGACCTTATGCATGAACTCACTAGAGAACGAACTGATCCACTGGGTCTTCTGCTTTTTTCCTTGAACTTTATGAGACTTCCGTTGAAATCTACAATCTGATACAATGAATGGTGTACCTTATTTAATCAAAAGTACAGCCGGTTACGTCTTGTGTGTTTATTATGTTTCACGTAACCATAGGTTTGTTGTTGTCGTTTTGCGGCAGGCAAAAGTTCAACAGGTGAAGCCCCACCTGTTGGACTTCTTATTCCAATTTTTTTTATTGATTTTCACAAAATTATAAACAAACAAACAAACAAAATCATAACCTTATTAAAAATTACACTTAATAGAAGACACAAGATTTACCCACTCTGGAAGAATGGCAGATGAAGATGATTGACTACATGGGATTGGCAGAAATGACTGGCAGAATCCGAGACCAGGGAGAAGAGTCGGCGGAAGAAGATTGGAAGAAAGTTAAGGACTATTTACAGAAATATTGTAAAATTAATGAATGTTAGAATGATGTCGGATAGAAATTAAGTGGTTTCCAGCTGTAATGTTTCGAGTGACATGAAAAAAAAAAGGTGCAGAAATAGGTTAAAAATTACGGATAAGGATTTGCTGAACTAACAATTTGAACTGGAATACAAAAAAGCGAGGTATGAAGAGGTCGGGGAAATATGTTAATGAAAAATAAGTATTGTGAACTTTATGTGTTTTTAAACTTTTTTGGTATTTTTCTATGTTTTGTTATTTTCCTTTTTCTTTTTTTGATTCTTTTTTTATTGTATTAACTTTGAAAACTCTAATAAATATCTTTTTTAAAAAATTACACTTATTAACATTGTTAAGTGACTTAACACTTGGTTGAATTTCAATGCATATCCTTTTAATGGTTTTCCAAATCACAGTTCTTCTAAAATTTAACTTGAACATTAACATCCTTAAGCCTTTTCATTTGACATTAAACCTATTAATTCATCACTTAACTTATCTAAAATCCTAAGCCAATTCAGTATCTGCAAGCTGTTTCCAATTTATTTAAGTTCCCACCTGTTGGATTTCTGCCCAGGAAAGGGATCAGGTGGCGGCCTCGGCTTGGGCTGCCTGCCAGGGAGGGAGGAAGGGACGGCCCCGGCCCAGGGGGAGGGCTGGCTTCGCCTCGCCCAAGGCGGCTGCTGCCGGGAGACGCTCCGCCGCAGAATCCCGCAGGCGAGTGAGCCGGCGCCGCTGGAGCAGCAGCAGCAGCAGCAGGTGGAGGTGAGTCCGGTGCAGCGCGCAGGGGAAACTGAGGCCGGGCGCGGGGAGGATCATCACCAGCCCCGGATTCAGCGCCCGAACCGTTTGCCTAGCTGTGGCGAAGCGCTGGCTGGGACACGCGACCCACTGTCTCGTGTGAAAGCGCTTCTCTGGGGACACGCGAGTCGCGGGTTTGGGTCCCGATTCGGGCGAGGCAACTCCTTACGAAGGAGAGGGTGCACCCTCCCAGAACATGCAGACACGTGTTGAGACCTCTCGCGCGTCAGAGCCCAACCTCATCTTCTTAGAAAGCCCCAACAGACCCCAATTGATGGAGCTGCCTCCTGGACACGTGTCAAGGGATTCTTGAGCTGTGATTCCCGCATTGCAGGGGGTTGAGCTAGATGACCTTTGGGGTTCCCTTGCGTATCTACATTTCTAAGATGCTATGAATTGATGCCACCCTCCTTTGGGGCAGCCTGATTTAATAAGTTTAATAAGTTGACTGTTTATATTTGGACAACTTTTCCGCTGTACTTTATCGGAAGGAGAAAAGCAATCGTTTCCTGAATAACTAAACAATTTATTTAACTGAAGCAGTAACATTATAGCATATGCATCCATGTTTGTTAACTGATGTGGTTAAACATTTAAAAATAAAAAAACTTAGACTGAGTTTTAGCACACATGAGAAACGTAAAACAAATCCTTATTTCCTGATATTATACCCTTTGGACTATAATGTAACTTAAATAGAAAACTATCTTTAGAAAGTTTTTCCCTCCAAAAGCATTTTATTTTAAGAATCCAATTTAAATTTTAAAAAATCTGTTTTAAATAAAAAAAACCCAATTTTATATATACTGTATAAATATATTAAAAAGCATTGATTTTTTTTAATCCACCCTGCTTTCTTGCAAACTTCTCTGGGGACAGGGGAGGCTGGGTTTGGGTCCCAATCCGGCCGAGGCAGCTCCTTACGAAGGAGAGGGTGCCCCCCAGAACATGCTAGATGACCTTTGGGGTTCCCTTGCGTATCTACAATTCTACGATTCTATGAATGGATGCCACCCTCCTTTGGGGCAGCCTTGATTAAGCTCATACAGTACTCCAAATCTCCATCTGATTTTCTGACCCTTTGGTTAGCTGCACGATTTAAATTGCTAGTCGGTAAGCCTTGATTTAGATCATTTTTATTTTTTTTTACAGACTCGTTCTTGCTGGTATCATCTTAATATTTACAACCAGATGAAGGTTTCCTTTTTTCCGAATACTAAATTTTCAGATTAGTTTTTACAGTGACTGGTTTGGTTATATGATTAGAAAAACATAGACCGATCATTATGAAATTCTGGTGATGTTTAATAAGTTGACTGTTTATATTTGGACAACTTTTCCGCTGTGCTTTATCGGAAGGAGACAAAACAATTGTTTCCTGAATAACTAAACAATTTATTTAACTGAAACAGTAACATGATAGCATATGCATCTATGTTTGTTAACTGAAGTGGTTAAACAGTAATAAATTTAAAAAACTTAGACTGAGTTTTAGCACACATGAAAAACTTAAATTTCCTGATGAATAGCGTTTGGATCAGGGGTCAGCAAACTTTTTCAGCAGGGGGCCGGTCCACTGTCCCTCAGACCTTGTGGGGGGCCGGACTATATTTTTTTTGGGGGGGGGGATGAACGAATTCCTATGCCCCACAAATAACCCAGAGATGCATTTTAAATGAAAGCACACATTCTACTCATGTGAAAACACCAGGCAGGCCCCACAAATAACTCAGAAATGTACCGTATTTTTCGCTCTATAAGACGCACCAGACCACAAGACACACCTAATTTTTGGAGGAGGAAAACAAGAAAAAAATATTCTGAATCTCAGAAGCCAGAACAGCAAGAGGGATCTCTGTGCAGCGAAAGCAGCAATCCCTCTTGCTGTTCTGGCTTCTGGGATAGCTGCGCAGCCTGCATTTGCTCCATAAGACGCACACACATTTCCCCTTACTTTTTAGGAGGGAAAAAGTGAGTCTTATAGAGCAAAAAATACGGTATTTTAAATAAAAGGGCACATTCTACTCATGTAAAAACACGCTGATTCCCGGACCGTCTGCGGGCCGGATTGAGAAGGCGATTGGGCCGGATCCAGCCTCCTGGCCTTAGTTTCCCTACCCCTGCTCTGACCCTTTCATTGGCTGTGCATCCTTTTCTGTTCTGCAAACCCTCTGATGAAGGCTGAGTATGTGTATCCAGTGCTGGATTTACATATAAGCCAAATAAGCTATAGCTTTGGGCCCCCGTCTCTTAGGGGCCACCAAAAAATGAAAAAATAAATAAATATGGATGTACATTTCCAAAATATAAGATAAAAAACAAATAAAATAAAACCTACATACAGCAACAGTGTTCTGTGTTGTGTTGGCTCCTATTTGTTATGTGCAAATGGGTTTAGATACCTATTAGGTCCATAAATTACCATATGACATATATTCAACACAAAAAACAGTGACAATTTGTTGTTGACAAAGGACAGCTGGACATATAAAGGGCCCCATTACCTTCAGTAGCTTAGGGGATGGGTAGGCAAACTAAAGGGACACGGGTGGCGCTGTGGGTAAAAGCCTCAGCGCCTAGGGCTTGCCGATCGAAAGGTCGGCGGTTCGAATCCCTGCGACGGGGTGCACTCTCGTTGCTTGGTCCCAGCGCCTGCCAACCTAGCAGTTCGAAAGCACCCCCGGGTGCAAGTAGATAAATAGGGACCGCTTATTGGCGGGAAGGTAAACGGCGTTTCCGTGTGCGGCTCTGGCTCGCCAGAGCAGCGATGTCACGCTGGCCACGTGACCTGGAAGTGTCTCCGGACAGCGCTGGCCCCCGGCCTCTTAAGTGAGATGGGCGCACAACCCTAGAGTCTGTCAAGACTGGCCCGTATGGGCAGGGGTATCTTTACCTTTAGGCAAACTAAGGCCTGGGGGCCAGATCCGACCCAATCGTCTTCTCAATCCAGCCGGGAATCAGCATCTTTTTAAATGAGTAGAATGTGTGCTTTTATTTAAAATGCATCTCTGGGTTACTTGTGGGGCATAGGAATTTGTTCATTCTCCCCCAATATAGTCCAGCCTCCCACAAGGTGAGGGACAGTGGACCGGCCCCCTGCTGAAAAGGTTGCTGACCCCTGGCTTAGGGTCTCATCAAACCTAAATCCGGCCCTGTGTGTATCTGTTTGTGGATTAGAGTTCCAGCTTCTGTTTTCCTTCCGCACTGGATTGGTGACTTTTGTGATCAAATGGCACCCCTGGAACAATATAGAATTGCGAATTATCATTGTATGAAAGGCCCTTGATGAAATGTCTAATACAAAACGTCAGGCTGGTTGGTAGCAGAAGAAACTTCTGCTGGGAATTCCCATCTCAAATCCAGGTATTTGCAGGCCGATCGAGATTCATGGGGGGAAAGCACTCTGCACATGCTCAGAAAGCAAATGATTATTACATTCTGTGTTCCATACTGGCATTGGGGGGGCGGGGGAAGGGTTCCTGGACGCCCAGGGAGAGGAATCTTTTTCTTTCCAGTCTGAGGGCCACAATCACTCATGGGCAAGTTTCGGGGGGGGGGGGCACAAGCAGTGGGCGTGGCCAAACACTAAAGGGGGCGGAGCAATGGATGTGACTCTTCACCTTGCATTCCAGCTACGCAAAAAGCAGAGGTTTCTACCGACGCAAATCTCTGTATCTTCCATCCAGACAAACCAAAGGCACCGTCACAGTTCAAGAACGTTTTCCAGGTGATTGAAATCGTGTGAGGAGGTCGTGAGACGGGACTAGCGAGAGATTTGGCCTGGGGGAAGAGTCCACACAGCCGGGAAGGGTACCTTTGAAACCTGGTTGGCAGGGTCCCCGGCTCTATTGCAGGGCTCCAATTGCCTCTCGGCTCAAATTAAGCCGTTTTTGCCATGCCACAACACACCTTCGGTATCTTGGGGGTTTTGCGCCTTTGTCAAAAGCACAATGGCGCCCATGTCCACCAATCCCTGGACCCCGCCACACTTTCCTCAGGCAGCCAAAGGATTGTGGATCATGTGCAAGCTTTTGTGTTAACACAGAACAGTTCAGCGGGCAAACAGTTCCTTATACAGTGGTACCTTGGGTTACAGATGCTTCAGGTTACAGACGCTTCAGGTTACAGACTCCACTAACCCAGAAATAGCACCTCGGCTTAAGAACTTTGCTTCAGGATGAGAACAGAAATCGTGCAGCGGTGGCGCAGTGGCAGTGGGAGGCCCCATTAGCTAAAGTGGTACCTCAGGTTAAAAACAGTTTTAGGTTAAGAATGGACCTCCGGAACGAATTAAGTTCTTAACCCGAGTTACCACTGTATATTTACTAGGATTTTGGTTCCGGCTGCTAGCCATGCCAACCCCGCTGTGGACTTTGCATATGAGAAGTTACTTTATTTAGAAGACCGGAGAAAGTTTCCAGTCCTCCTCAAAAGATTCTAAACTTGGGTCTCTCATCTGCACCATCAGTTTTGCCATCTCTGCGAATTCCGTGGTTCTCTTCCGCCATTCTTCCTTGGAGGGCATTCTTTGAGAGGAGATCGCTCTTGTGTTCAGGTTGTAGAATCATAGAATTGTAGTGGCGGGAGGGACACCCAGGGTTATCTAGTCCAACCCCCTGCAATGCAGGAATCTCAAATAATCATCCAAGACAGGTGGCCTTCCTCCTGTTACTTAACTAAACTCCCATTGTCCCTGACCATCCTTGCTGGGGCTGATGGGAGTTGTAGTTCAGCCACATCTGGAGGGCCAAATGTTCCACATGCCCAACGTAGACAGACTTGCAGGCTCGCTAATGGCCACGCCGACCATACTCTGCCTCCACAGTTAGAGTCAGCAATGCAGAACACGGTAAGAAATTTATTAAAAAGGACGAAGCTGGAGGTGATGGAATTTTAAAAATGCAATTGCATGTACAGTGGTACCTTGGGTTAAGAACTTAATTCGTGTGCCTGCTCCTCGAGAGGTCTGGAGGGTGGCAACACAAGAACGGGGCCTTCTCTGCAGTGGCTCCCCGTCTGTGGAATGCTCTCCCCAGGGACGTTTGCCTGGCGCCTTCATTAGACACCTTTAGGTGCCAGGCAAAAACGTTCCTTTTCAACCAGGCCTTTGGCTGATTTGATTTACATCCTATGCCCTTTTAAAAAGTGTTTTTCCTTGGGGGGGGGCTATTGGTTTGTTGTTTTATTTTTACAGTGGTACCTCAGGTTAAGAACTTAATTCGGTCCGGAGGTGCGTTATTAACCTGAAATTGTTCTTAACCTGAGGTACCACTTTAGCTAATGGGGCCTCCTGCTGCCACCACACGATTTCTGTTCTCATCCTGAAGCAAAGTTCTTAACCTGAGGTACTATTTCTGGGTTAGCGGAGTCTGTAATCTGAAGCGTCTGTAACCTGAAGCGTCTGTGACCTGAGATACCACTGTAATCGTAATTTTGGTTGAGCGGGAAGTTGCCGGTGTTGTGAAATGGGATTATAGCTGTTGAGTGATAGAGTGTAACTCTGAATCTTGAAATAAAATAAGATATTACTGTAAAAGTGAAAAGAGAAATCTCTTCTGTGGCCCTCCAAAGGCGGTTGGAGTTCAGTCCCAGCAAGAGTGGCCAAGATGCTGGAAGTGTAAAAATGTAGAGGGAACATTCTTCCACATGTGGTGGACATGTAAAAAGGTAAAAGAGTATTGGGGAAAAATTTATAATGAACTGAGGAAAATGTTTTCAATTACTCCCCTCCCCCCTGAAAACTAGAGTCGTTTCTGCTGGGGATAACCCAGACTGAAATTCCCAGGTGTCAGAAAAGATTATGTACGCAACAACTGCAGCCTGTGTTTTGTTAGCCTCAAAATGGAAAGTGAGCGAGGTCCCAACTCAAGAGGATTGTCAACTCAAGAATATGCACAATTTGCAGATTTAACATATGGAATAAGAGAGCAGGAAGAACATATGTTTAAAGAAGTATGGTAAACGTTTATTGAGCATATGGAAAATAGCTGTGTACAGCTGAAAACACTGGTAGCATTAAGAGTAAATAATTCTTGATGGATGTAATAGTGGAAAATTGATTTGAATGGTTATAGTAGAGTACGCAGGGATGTAAGATATGTAAAACGAACCACGGAAAGAGAAGAAGGGGGAAGTCATTGGCATATTTTAAAGTTTGTACAGTGGTACCTCTGGATGCGAACGGGATCCGTTCTGGAGCACCGTTCGCATCCTGAGTTGAATGTAACACGCTTCTGCGCGTGCGTGGGTCGCGTCTCGCCACTTCCGCGCATGCGCATGATGTCATTTTTAAGCATCTGCGCATGCGTGAGCGGCGAAACCCGGAAGTAACGCACTCCGTTACTTCTGGGTCACCACAGAACGTAACCTGAAAACGCTCAACCTGAAGCATATTTAACCCAAGGTATGACTGTACCTTGAAGGGACGCGGGTGGCGCTGTGGGTAAAACCTCAGCGCCTAGGACTTGCCGATCACATGGTCGGCGGTTCGAATCCCCGCGGCGGGGTGCGCTCCCGTCGTTTGGTCCCAGCGCCTGCCAACCTAGCGGTTCGAAAGCACCCCCGGGTGCAAGTAGATAAATAGGGACCGCTTACCAGCGGGAAGGTAAACGGCGTTCCGTGTGCTGCGCTGGCTCGCCAGATGCAGCTTCGTCACGCTGGCCACATGACCCGGAAGTGTCTGCAGACAGCGCTGGCTCCCGGCCTATAGAGTGAGATGAGCGCACAACCCTAGAGTCTGGCAAGACTGGCCCGTACGGGCAGGGGTACCTTTACCTTTATGACTGTACAAGGTTTATCTGAAATTGTAAAACAGAACATTTAATAAAAGTTATTATGGTGTAAGACAATGGGAGCTATAGTTCAGTGATATCTGGAGGGTTTAAGGTTTCCCACACTCAGTCTGGATGTGACCCCCATTCGAGGATCTGGCTGTCTTCCTGCCTTTTCGGGACGGGACGGGACGGCGCTGTTTTGCCCTGCCAAAACATACAGTGTCTGATGATGCTTTCAGGTGCAGTGCCGGGCTTCTGAATATAACACACGCCCGCTGCAGGTGTCATGAAACTGGAGAACTTTGTTTGCGCAAATCTGTAAAAGCACACAGCCCAAGCAGTCCTTGGAAATATGCAGCTAATTCCTCAGTGTAAATACTGAAGGGTGTGGAATGAGGGAGGCCTCGCTGACAGCGGCGTAGCGTGGGTTGTCAGCACCCGGGGCAAGGCAAGTAATTTGTGCCCCCTAACCCGTGGATTTGCGCCCCCTAACCTGTGGATTTGCCCTAACCCCAGATGTTGCGCCCGGTGCAGCTGGCCCCCCCTGCACCCCCCACGCTACGCCACTGCTCGCCGAACCCTCTTGCTCCTCAAACCTGAATGGGCCTCGCCAGAGACGTCTCAGCATCGCCGTAGGTGTGCGACCGAGGAGGGATGCTTTGCAGGCAGCGCCGGATTTACGTATATGCTAAACAAGCTGTAGTTTAGGGCCCCACTCTCTTGGGGGCCCCAAAACAATTTAAAGGGAAAAAACCCTGGATGTGCATTTCCAAAATATAAGATAAAAAACAAATAAAATAAAACCTACATACAGCAACAGTGTTAGGGTTCGGAGTGCAGGTTAGGCTGAGAGCGAGTGCCTGGCCCAAGCTCACCCAGTGGGCTGAGTGGGGAATTCAAACCCTGGTCTCCCAGGTCTTAGTCCAGTGCTCTAACCACTACACCACACTGACTCTCTGTACTTGGTACTGCTGTCTGATTGTGCCAGGATCTTGGATCATGTTTCTCTCCTGCGCCCGCAGCCAGCAAGGAAGTGGTTTCTTATTTGCATTCCTCATTTTTTGCAGAAAGGGAGTTTGGCAAGCTCAGCCGGACAGGGACAATGGAATTGTGGACGGCCCGGTTTTTTGGTTGACCACCGAGCTCTCGGCCAGGGGCTTATCAGTCTTTCCCCTTCTCCGAACAATAGCGGCTTTCACAAAACAGAAAAGGGGTGGGTGGGAAGGGTGCCTGGAACTGCAGCACCCAAGCAAGACCAGGAAGTCAAATATGTCAGCTGGAATCAGTGGAGGTTCGAGTCAAAGAATTGTAGAGTTGGAACGAGTCATCTAGTCCAGGGGTCTGCAACCCGCGGCTCCAGAGCCGCATGTGGCTCTTTTACACCTTTGCCGTGGCTCTGGGGCGGATACTAGCGATTGGAGGAGGCGCATTGTGCGCCCCGACACTCCCCACTGTGGCGGGCACTGTACTGGCTGTGACGTCGCATGGGGGCGGTGTGTGCGTTAGTCACGCACCGTCCCGACGTCACCTTCCCGCCCGCCCGCCGCCCGCTACCTTGTAAGGGGCATGTACACTGGTCACTGCATTGAAAGGGGGAATGTACGCTGGTCACTGTTTTGAAGGGGAGTGAAGAACACACACACACACAAAAGGTAACTTGTTAATTTAACGTTTATTTCTATGAGGAGGAGTAATTCTGAGGGGTCAAACAAAGAAATAATAAAAAGTGACAAAAAAGTTATTTTTATAATGACGAGTTTTGCGGCTCCCAGTTGTTTTTTTCTTCGGAAACGGGTCCAAGTGGCTCTTTTTGTCTTAAAGGTTGCAGACCCCTGATCTAGTCTAACCGCCTGCAACACAGGAATCTCAGCTAATCATAGAATCATATTATAGAATCATAGAATCATGTAGAGCCATAGTACCGCCAACGCCATCATGCCATTGTGCAAATCTG